TTCTTCAAATGTCTTAAAAGTCTCATTCAACAAATATTTACTGACGCCAGACACTCTTCTAGCTACTGGGGGTGCATCAGTGAGTAAACCAGACAACAGCCCCACCCTCAGGAAGCTTCCATTCTAGTGGGTGTAGACAGAGGATGCCGTGCTAAACCACATGGAGCCTGAGGCAAAGAGAGAAACCAGTGACCTTGATCCTGCCTTTATCTAAAGTTTTCATATTTTGCTCATCGAAGACTTGTTTTCACATTTCGATGTTTTAAAATATTTCATCAAAATATTTACTTTTACTTATTTATTTTTAAAGATTTTTTTATTGATTTTTAGGGAGAGGGAGAGAGAAACATGGATGGTGATCATGAAACATCAACCAGCTGCCTCCTACATCCCCCCCATTGGGGATCGAGCACGAAACCCAGCCATGTGCCCTGACCAGAAATCGAACCAGCAACCCTTTGGTGCATGGGACAAGAGCCAACCAACTGAGTCACACCAGCCAGGGCAAAATATTTAATATTTAATTTTCTGTGCCTGAGACAAACCTTACTCCCTCACTCCAGTCCCAGACATGAGACAGATGCTGGTAGATGCATGGTAGGGCCTGAAGGGCACTGCCCACATTTCCCCATCAAAACCAATGCACTTATTTTCCCCAGCTGCTGAGTGTTGACAGCTGACAGCTCACAGCTGAATTCTCGCCCCAGAGACTGCCTTCCGCCGCCCAGAGCCCTCGCCCAAGGGCATGCCCTCTCCCCAGAAGCAGCTACACCCAATGATTGATCATTGACAGAGAGAGATCATCCCAGAATACTAGAGGCCAGGTGACAATGCTTAAAAGTCAGAAGCAAATGGGAGCAAATATCTCACCCAGCAACAAGGTCAGAGCAGCAGGCAGGGAGACTATGGAAATGGTTGGAGTCCCTACCCCCAAGATCAATCTATACAGGTGTTCTCAAAGCGTGGTTCCCGACCAGCAGCATCAGCATGTGGATGAGAAGGGGCTGAAAAGGGGCCACATACTAAACCTGACAAGCCTGCATGGCAGCCTTGCAAACTCAGAGACCTAAAATAGCCACCAGGGATGGTCTAAAATGAAACTTCTTAACTAGAAGCAGTTTATGGTGGGTAGTCGTGTCCTAGGCTAGAATCTTTCCTGACAAAGGTCAGTCTTTACCTTAACTAAGCCTGTCTTACTGCCTTTTGCATCCTTTGGAATGTCAGTGTAACTCCCTTTTTCTGGACCCCTCAGGCACAACCAGTGCAGCAGGGGGAAACCCTAAGTCCTCACATCGTTTTACCATGTTAATCGCCAACTGCTAACTACGCTGCACCCACCTACGTAAAAGACGCGCCTCTCATTTTACTTCTCACCCAATCCCAGAGGCTCCCCTGCTTTGCTTTCTCCCGCCACCTACTGTGTCACCCACGGATTTCACGTAAACCGCTGGTGTCACCTCTTTTGATTGTAATGTATAAAATAAGGTGCAAAGCTGCCATTCCCCGGGGCCTTCTCTCAGTCCGTTGAGATTTTGCTTCCCGTCAACTGTCGACAGTTTGGCTCAAATAAACTAAAAAATTCTTCACAGACTGACGAATTTCAGAGGGAAGGTGGGGGTGAGTGGGTGGGGAGAGGTCAACCAAAGGATTTATACACATATATGCACAACCCAAGGACACAGGAAGTGCGGTGAAGGCCTGGGGTGGGGGTAGTGGT